AGTTCTTAACCCAGCACAGAGTGCCCTGTCCAAGCCATGGGCTGCCAGCTTTTCCAGGAGTATATTATGGGAGACAGTGTCTAAGGCTTTGCTGAAGTCCAGATAGACACATCCACAGCCTGCCCCTCATCCACTAGGCAGGTCACCTGATCATAAAAGGAAATCAGGTTGGTCAGACAGGACCTGCCCTTCCTAAACCTGTGCTGGCTGGCTCTGATCCCTTGTCCATCCTGTTGGTGCTGTGTGATTGCACTTAGGATGATTTGCTCCATAACCTCAACAGGCACTGAGATCAGGCTGACAGGCCTGTAGTTTCCCGGGTCCTCCTTCTGGTCCTTTTTGTGGATTGGCGTGACATTCGCCAACTTCCAATCGTCTGGGACCTCCCCAGAGAGCCAGGACTGTTGGGAAATGATGGAGAGTGGCTTGGCGAGCTCTTCCGCCAGCTCCCTTATCACTCTTGGGTGGATCCCATCTGGTCTCATGGACTTGTGAGGATCCAAATGGCTCAGCAGGTCACTAACTGTTTCCTCCTTGATTACAGGAGGGCTATTCAGCTTCTTATCCCTGTCTACAAGCTCCAGAAGCCAGCTGTCCTCAGGACAACCTGTCTTGCTGTTGAAGACTGAGGTAAAGAAGATGTTAAATACCTCAGCCTTGTCCTCATCTTTGATAAATATGTTCCCACTGTTGCCTAAAAGGCTGTGGAGGAAATAAAGACTCCAGGTCAAATTAGGTAGGAGGTAAGATAGGGATACAAAGGCTATAATAAGCCCCCAGGCTTCCAGGAATACCACCACCGCGTGCCCCCGAATACAGGTGTTTACAATTTTTATAATGATTTTCACCCAATCCCCATCTGACCACCGCCCAGGTTCTGCCCCCTGACACGCCTCTCAGGTATTGAGTCTGGGGGCGTTTTGGGACCCCCTCTTCTTCATCTTCATCTTCCTCAGAGCACGTACTGTTCTTGGAGGCCTTCCAGAGCTCTGGGCCTGAAGGTTGTTGCATCTATGGTTATATCTTCTTGCACAGATTTTAGGATGTTCTCTACAATTCTACCTTGAAAATGAGACTAAACAGGTTAATGGAATTTAGGGGACTTGATATGGGAATGGGTAACAGGGTTTGCTATGTGTATTTACTGTGTTAAAGGGTAAGGGATAATGTGATGCTACTTTAAAATCTACATTTACTATAGAACTACTTCTAAAATCTACAAAATTAAAAAATCAAAACTCCAAGGTATCACCACCCAGTTTCCTGGACTAAAGCTAGAATGCCTTTTTCTGCTGCCTCCTTTGCAGGTTTGTCAGTGTGAGAAACAGTCTCAAAATATTCCCCAATGTGTGAGAAACAGAGTCTCAAGATATAAACAATTTTCAGATTGGAATTTATTGTATGGTAGAAGCAAACAGCGCTGGGTGTACAGACAGGAAATTCTCCTGAGTTTGCCACACCTGATAGAGGGTACAAGTCTGGTTTTTATTTCAAAATATTCCATACATATTCATTATATCACATTCATATACATTTACATCGCTATTCTAGGTATTCACCATGTTTATTTTCACAGCTTAGACTAATCGGTTATCTCTACGTTAAGTTATAAATTCATATGTCCTTCGCAATAAGGCACCATCATGCTATTTGATCTGATCTGGTTCAGACATAACTCTTGGCTAGGAGGACAGGGAAGACGATGGTCTGTTTTATGTCTTTATGGGGGTGCAATTAAGTTTTACAATCCATTTGTTCTCCTTCCCTCCTGGGTTACTGTGACAGTTTTGACCTGGCTCCCTGCCAAATGCTCGAAAGTTACGACAGCAACCCCCTTCCCTCCTCCTTTCTTCCCTTAGGTTAAAGGAAAAGAAACTATAAAAAAAATTAAGAACCCAAAGTCAAGCTGCTTATGTAAAAATATATCTATATTTACGTGAATTACAGTTATGTACAGTTAAGATGCTATATACACAGTAAAAGGGGATCCACCCCCCGAAGGAATAGTGAAAGGGAAAAAGGGGATGAAAGGGAACAAAAGGGACACCGAACAGGTATACTAGATCAAACTCAAGAACTATACTAATAACTAACAAAACAGTACTCACCACGTCCCTTAGAACAGCAGGATCGGCAGTCACGGCCAGCACTCTCCAAACCTCCACGTGGCAGGACAGTGGACTCTGCAGGCCTCAGCCTCAGATAAGCGAGACCAACGCAGGGACCCACTGTTCCCAAACCTCGCCGGAAGAGAAGAGAGCGAAGTCTCTAATTTCCGACTTATTTATACTCTGGTTTACATAAAAATTGTATGGAATACTAGGTACTTGGCTACTTCCTTGGTTACAAACTGGTCACCAGGAAGGTCTAGACTAAAACCATCACATTCTCCACCCCTTATTCCATATTATTTTTACGTAACACTTATATTTCGCGTTCATTTATATTCCGCGTATATATACACATATACATATGTCTCAGTTTAATTGAGACAAGGGTCTTTTGCTGAGGATGGATTAGGAGAAAAAGACCCAAACCTTCTTCTCTAGCAATTATAGATCCGAAATTAAGAGGCTCCGATTGAAGGAAAACAAATTATGGAAAAGGGAAAAAAAAAATAACAGCCCTTTATTAAAAGGTATGTGTGTATTAACAGGAACACAAAAAAAAAAACAACAGGTAAAACAACCAAGCAATACCCCTATACCCACCAATAATCCCCTTCAAGAACAAAACCGATAAAACCGGCAAAAAAGAAAATCAAATAGTTCAATTTTTAGCACTCTTTGGTGCAGTTCCAACCACAGTCAGCAGGGGGCGCCGTCGGGTCACTGGAGATGCAAAAAACTTGTAATGTCTTATACCGTTCACCAGGTGGCGCTGTTGAGTTATCAAAAGTGCAGAACTTGTAATGTTCTATAGTAGTCACCGGGTGGCGCTGTTGGATCACTGGAGGAGTGGAACTTGCAATGTCCAGCGCTCGTCACCGGGCGGCGCTGTGGGATCCCTGGTCGCCGCCGGGTGGTGAGGGGGGGGGGGGGGGGGGGGGGGGGGGAAGGGGAAGGGAAACAGAAAGTTCTCCCAATGGAAGAAAAAACTCACGACTCAGTTGGTGAAGATCCCGCGGTGAAAACCAAACCTGCAATCAGCAGACAACTGTGCAGAGAGACAGCAGCAAAAAAACTCCTCTCCCACAGGAAAAGACAAAGAAGAAACCAGGCAGTCTCTCCTCTCTGCTGCAACCTCCCCTCCCGCTCCAGAGCTGAGCTCCCACCCCCCAGACCCCACCTCTTTCCACACACACACTCTGGCCTTTTTCCTAACTCCTCCCCCTTTGTTGCCAGGAGACTAATTCTCGGTCGTTTAGGACTCAGGCCGACTCTTTTGTTTACCTGATGTCTCTTTAACAGCATTCATGCAGGGGGGGGAAGGGGAAAGGAAAGACAAAATTCCTTTCTAAAAACGGAACTATGACAACATATTCGTATATAGTCTTTGTTCCTTCTTTAGAGCATTCATCTTGTTATAGAAGAATCAGCGTCAGCATCAGGATTAGCTTGGTTCTCATTCTTGGCCCTTAGGTCACAATCACAGTTCTGGTTTTCAGGGCTTGTCCTCTGGTCTGGGCTGGTTTATTACTGGATACCGGCGTCAATTGTTCAGGTCTTTCTCATTTGGTGATTGGTTTCTTGCAAAACACAACTCAAAGCACATGATTAGTTTTTCTCCAAGGTTAAATTTCTTTGGGGCACGCAGTGGATTTCTCTATCTTTTCTCATTACTCACCAGGTATTTTCGGGTCTTTGAGTGAAAACAATCCTACGAATGGGTTTGTTTTGGCCTGAGGAAGGAGTAATTCAAACAGCCTTCTCTAACATATTTCTTAGATGGATCACTGGAACTTTGTCTCTATCTACAGTGTGGAGGGATTCTGCTTGGGCAGGACCAGTTCGATTGACAGAGCCTTTAGTGTTAACAAGCCAGGTGGCCTTGGCTAAGTGCTTGTCCCAGTTCTTGAAAGTTCCCTCACCTAGTGCCTTCAGAGTTGTTTTTAACAGTCTATTACACCTTTCAACTTTTCCAACAGCGGGTGCATGATATGGAATGTGATACACCCATTCAATACCATGCTTCCGTGCCCAAGTGGCCACCAGATTATTCTTGAAATGAGTTCTGTTGTCTGATTCAATTCGGTCTGGAGTGTCATGTTTCCACAGGACTTGCTTTTCAAGACTTAGAATGGTATTTCGGGCTGTTGCATGTGGTACTGAACATGTCTTTAACTATCCAGTAGTCGCTTCCACCATGGTAAGCACATAGTGTTTACCTTGACAGGTTTGTGGCAATGTGATATAATCAACCTGCCATGCTTTTCCGTATCTATACTTGTCCCAGCGTCCACTATACCACAGGAGCTTCAACCTTTTGGCCTGTTTAATGGCAGCACAGGTTTCACAGTCATGAATAACCTGTGAAATAGTGTCCACGGTTATATCCACCCTTCGGTTTCGTGCCCATCTATAGGTGGCATTTGGCCCTGATGGCCTGAAGCATCATGGGCTCATCGAGCTAGGAACAATTCTCCCTTTTGCTGCCAGTCTAGGTCTACTTGTGACACCTCGACTTGTGCAGCGCGGTCTGCCTGTCTGTTATGAGCATGTTCTTCATTAGTTCGATTCTTGGGCACATGGGCATCTACATGGCGGATTTTCACATTCAGTTTCTTTGCTCTGGTAGCGATGTCTTGCCACAAATCGGCAGCCCAGATGGGTTTTCCTCTATGTTTCTAATTCATTTTCTTCCGCCTGTCTAACCATCCTCATAGGGCATTGGCTATTATCCACGAATCGGTGTATAGGTAGAGCTTTGACCATCCTTCTCTTTCTGCAATGTCCAGGGCCAACTGGACAGCTTTGAGTTCTGCAAACTGACTTGATTCGCCTTTACCTTCAGTGGCTTCCGCCACCCGTCGGGTGGGACTCCACACAGTTGCTTTCCACTTCCGGCTCCTTCCTACAATGCGGCAAGAACTGTCAGTGAAAAGGGCATAGCGTGTTTCTTCATTTGGCAGCTGATTATATGGCGGAGCTTCTTCAGCTCGGCTCACTGGCTCTTCTTCATCTGCTAGACTGAAGTTCCCACCTTCAGGTCAATTGGTTATAATTTCCAAAATTCCAGGGCGATTCGAGTTTCCCATTCGGACACGTTGTGTAATCAAAGCCATCCACTTGCTCCCACGTGGCATCGGTGGCATGATGCGTAGAGGGCACTTTATTCTTGAACATCCAGCTCAGTACTGGTAATCGGGGTGCCAGGAAGAACTGTGTTTCGGTACCAATCACTTCTGAAGCTTCTTGTATGCCTTCATATGCCGCTAAGATTTCTTTTTCCATAGGGGTGTAATTGGCCTCAGAACCTCTGTAGCTTCGGCTCCAGAAACCAATAGTTCTGATTTTAGCAAGGAATTTTTTCTTTCCTTTCCCCTTCCCCCCCCCTACTCCCCACGTGTGTGCTTCTGTTAATGGACCATCAGGTCAAAAACAAAGGAATTGACCACTAAATGGTCGAGACATTAGTCGCCTAGTAATGAAGGGGGAGGAATTGGGAAAAGGCCAGGGTGTGTGTATGGAAAGAGGTGGGGTTTGGGGGTTGGAGCTCAGTTCTGGGGGGTTGGAGTGAGCTCTGGAGCCGAAGGGGAGGCTGCAGCATGGAGGAGAGATTGCCTGGTTTCTTCTTTGTCTTTTCCTGTCGGAGGAGAGTTTTTTTTTACTGCTGCTCTCTGCTCAGCTGTTGGTAGCTGCAGGCTTGGCTCACCGCGAAATCCTCACCAACTGAAAATCGTGAGTTTTTTTCTTCCATTGGGAGAACTTTCTGTTTCCCTCCCCCTTTCCCCCCTCCTCCCCCACCACCTGGTGGCAACCAGGGATCTCACAGCGCCGCCTGGTGACGGGTACTGGACATTACAAGTTCTACTCCTCCAGTGATCCAACAACGCCACCTGGTGACTACTATAGAACATTACAAGTTATGCACCTTTGATAACTCAACAGCGCCACCTGGTGAATGGTATATAGCACATTACAAGTTTTGCATCTCCAGTGACCCGACAGCGCCTCCTGCTGACTGTGGCTGGAACTGCACCAAAGGGTGCTAAAAACTTGAACTATTTAATTTCCCTTTTGCCGGTTTATCGGTTTTGTTCTTGAAGGGGATTATTGGTGGGTATAGGGGTATTGCTTGGTTGTTTTACTTGTTTTTTTTTTGTGTTCCTGTTAATACACACATACCTTTTAATAAAGGGCTGTTATTTTTTTTTTCCCTTTTCCATAATTTGTTTTCCTTCAATCGGAGCCTCTTAATTTCGGATTTATAATTGCTTAGAAAAGGAAGCTTGGGTCTCTTTCTCCTAATCCATCCTCAGCAAAAGACCTTTGTCTCATTTAAACTGAGACAGTCGCCCTCACGTCTCACCAGGCACTTTTTGCCTGAGGCTCCAGGAGGGACTTTTATCTCCAGCTGTAAAGTACATTCTTTACATCTGGTCCCGTCCGGACTGACCCAAGAGCTACTGCATGTGCAATCTCTTGCTTGATTTGCTTGAAAACCTGTTGTTGTTCAGGACCCCATTGGAAGTTGTTCTTTTTACGGGTTACAAAGTAAAGAGGGCTTACAATTTGGCTGTACTCGGGGATGTGCATCCTCCAGAAGCCTATGGCTCCCAGAAAAGCTTGGGTTTCTTTCTTGTTTGTTGGTGGAGTCATTGCTACGATCTTATTGATGACGTCTGATGGAATCTGACGATGTCCATCTTGCTATTTCACCCCTAGGAATTGAATCTCTTTGGCAGGTCCCTTGACTTTATTTCTCTTGATGGCAAAACTAGCTTCAAGGAGAATCTGGATGATCTTTTGTCCTTTTTCAAAAATTTCTTCTGCTGTGTCCCCCCATACGATGATGTCATCGATGTACTGCAGGTGCTCTGGGGCCTTACCCTTCTCTAGGGTGGCCTGGATCAGTCCATGGTAAATGGCTGGACTGTACTTCCACCCCTGGGGCAGTCGATTCCAGGTGTACTGCACACCCCTCCAGGTGAAAGCAAACTGTGGCCTGCACTCTGCTGCCAAGGGAATGGAGAAAAATGCATTAGCAATATCAATAGTGGCGTACCACTTCGCTGTCTTGGACTCCAGCTCATACTGGAGCTCCAACATGTCTGGTACAGTAGCATTCAATGGTGGCGTGACTTCATTCAAACCACGATAGTTCACTGTCAGTCTCCATTCTCCATCAGATTTACGTATAGGCCAGATAGGGCTGTTGAAGGGTGAGTGTGTTCTGCTGACTACCCCTTGGCTCTCTAACTTCCTGATCATCTTGTGAATGGGGATCACAACATCTCGGTTTGTCCTATACTGTCGCCTGTGTACAGTTGCAGTGGCTATAGGCACTTGCTGATCTTTGACTTGGAGTAGTCCCACAATGGAAGGGTCTTCTGAGAGGCCAGATAGGGCAGACAATTGCTTGGACTTCTCTTCAATCACCGTGGCTACACCGAAAGCCCATCGGTACCCCTTCGGGTCTTTGAAGTATCCTTTTTTTAGGTAGTTCATACCAAGAATGCAAGGGGCTTCTGGCCCCGTCACAATGGAATGCTTTTGCCATTGGTCTCCTGTCAAGCTCATATTGGCCTTTATCACTGACAATTCTTGAGACCCTCCGGTCACTCCAGGAACAGAAACAGCCTCTACACTCTTATGTTCAGATGGCATTAAAGTACACTGGGCACCAGTATCCACCAAAGCCCAGTATCTCTGAGGATCCGATGTGCCAGGCCATCAAACTCACACAGCCCAGTAAACCCTATTATCTTCCTGGTCCCTATCCTTCTCCTGGCAGAAGGCAGGGCCCCTCTATTGGTCTTGAACAGAGTATTCATTGTCCAACTTTGACTTTGCCTTCTTAGAAGCTTTCTTGTTATTGTTGAAACGGACTTCCATCTTTTTGTTTTTCAGGGGTTGCAGAGTATCTGCATCAACCACATAGACAACCTTTTTGTTGTCTTTCTTTTGTTGTAATTCTCTTACTCTGGTCTCAAGTTTGGAAGTGGGTACACTATCCCACTTCTTCATGTTTTCTCCCTTACTACGCAAATAGGACCACAGTTGATTGCGTGATCTCCATCTGGGGTATCCTCTCCTTCTGTGTGCTAGGAAAGGAGACCGTGAACGAGACCGGGACCAAGATCGAGGTCGAAATCATGGTTGAAACCATTTTATTGGTCTGCCTCTATAGTCTCTATAGTCTATGTAAATTCTATCATCTTTATCCCTATAGTCATCTTCATATCTGAAATATTCATAGGTCCTCTCCATTGCTTTCTTAGGATGGGTAGGTTGGTGTCGGGCATCAGAGGACTTTTCCAAATTTTCGACTGTGGTCCGTATCCATGAACACATGGTGTCCACAGTTGGTTCATCCGTCTTTGGATTGTAAATTGATATTAAACAGTTGAGGTACGATGCAGGGGCACCTCTAATCACTTGCCTCCATATTGGCTCTGTACATGAAATCTTCTCTGGTTCCAAACAGTCATAGTAATCTGAATTGCAGTAAATGAGTTCCAGTATAGCTAATTCTCTTAAGTATTGGATGCCTTCTTCTGTACTCGTCCACTTTTTTGGAGAACTCATTAAGTATTCTTTAAATGGATATTTTTCTCTCACAGCATGGAGGATTCGGAGCCAGAGACTGAGATTGTATGTCTCTCTTGCGATTTCTTGTTCTATTTCACGGTCCTGAGCGAGGGATCCTAGTTGCTGTGCTTCATGACCCTCTAACAAGTGGCTTCTGGCCCCATTATCTCAACATCGTACCAGCCAGGTGAGAATTTGTTCACCAGGCCGGCAGCTGTAATCCCATCGTAGATCCCGGAGCTCTGCTGGGGTCATTGTTCGCAGTACCTCACTCGTTCACACAACTTCTGTTCCAGAATAAGGGTCTTTCCTACGTGGAACCATTTTTACTTCCTTTCTGACGCTTCTACGTGGAACCGCTTTCTCTTTCTCTCTGCCTCTCTCACGTGGAGGCAGAGACTGAGCATGTAGCAGGGATAGACTTCTGCTCCGTTGTCTAAGCCTACGAGGTGGAGGTAGTGAGTAGTTCTTCAGACTTTGGGATGAAGGTCTCAACTGTTCTTCTGTATCCTCCGCTGGAAAGTCAAGAAGAGAATATTTGGGTGTCAGCCTTTTCTTTGGTGGTTTATTGGCCATCTGTGCTGCCGCCCCTTCTTCCATTAGGTGTGTTCTCTTTTTCTTTTGGGCGCGTTCCTAATTCTTTTGGGCGCACTCCTTCTCTCGCTGCTGCTTCTTCCTCTTTTGCAGCCGTCTATTCATCCACTACTACATAGCTGGATGGGATAGGTTTCATGGGGCTGGCAAGTCCCTTTGCTCCCTCTTTTTCTTCTTCTTCTTCTTCTTTCTCTTCTTCTTCTCCTTTTATACGCCTTAATAGTGGAACTAGGCCTGTAGCTTCTGCACTATCCCTTATCCATATCTTCTTCTTAGTTAGGGGAACAATAGTGATTCTCGGGTTGGTAGTTTGGGTCTTCATCCATGTTGTAGTTTTAACATTAGATGTTGTAGTTTGAGTTTCAGTGTTCATGAGACCTACGGTCTGGACTCCACTTTTAACGGATTTAGCAGAAGCTGTGTTGACTTCAAGTTGGGTCTGTGTTTCATGCTCAGTTGAATTAACAGAGACAGCACTAACTTCAGGCTGAGTTTGTGTTCTACATTCAGTCAGCTTAACAGAGACGGCACTGACTTCGGGTTGAGTTTGTGTTCCATGTTCAGTCAGCTTAACAGAGATGGTGCTGATTTCAGGTTGAGTTTGTGTTCCACACTCAGTCAGTTTAACAGAGATGGTGCTGATTTCGGGTTGAGTTTGTGTTTCACACTCAGCTTAACAGAGACAGTGCTGATTTTGGGTTGAGTCTGCATCCCGACGTCTGTGGACTCAATAGGGGCATCATTTGTTTCAGGCGACATAGTTTGACTTTCTGCTTCTGCCCTAGGCTTTTGATAGTGATCTATGGCAGCTCCATAAGCTGTCACTAGACCCCAGCGTAAAGCAAGGAGCTGCGTATTCGGGTCATCGTATGAAAGACACTCTTCAACTAAACAACGTGCTATCTCGTCAGGATTAGACACTTGTTCTGGCGTGAAGTCCCAAACAATGGGAGGTGTCACACACCCTGCCAGTTTTCCGAAATTTATTCATGCTCCTTGCCATCCAGAAACTGGCCTTTCCAAGACCCTTCCCAAAGTTCCAGCGAATCCTCTAGAGGTCTGGCCTTTTCTACAGCACAGAAAGCAACACAACACCATTCGTCCAGTTTTAAATAATTCTTTCACCGCCTTCACCAGTACTAGGATTGTTACTAAACAATTTAAGTAAAAATTAGAGCCAATTGTAATGATGGGGATCTTCTTTAGCAGACCTTTAATGTCAAAATTGAGGAAAGTGAAATACTCCTTCCATTCATTCCAATCCAGGAAAGTGAGATACTCCCTCCATTCATCCCAAACAAAGAAAGGGACATAGTCCTCCCATTCATCTCCAGTTGGGCATTTCCCTACAGGATAGTCCAAAACAGGCACAAATATAGCTAATACAATGAAACAAGTAGTTAGAATAGCCATAGTTATATTATTCTTTCTCTCTGTTCCTAAACAATAGGTTTGTTTATAGAAACAAGCCTCTCTTGGCAGTTTTCCTGGTAACTGTTCCAAAATAAACCGGGATAACCAAAACAATCTCCCCGTACGGGCCACCAAAAAGTATGTGACGGTTTGGACCTTGCTCCCTGCCAAATGCTCGAAAGTTACGACAGCAGCCCCCTTCCCTCCTCCTTTCTTCCCTTAGGTTAAAGGAAAAGAAACTATAAAAAAAATTAAGAACCCAAAGTCAAGCTGCTTATGTAAAAATATATCTATATTTACGTGAATTACAGTTATGTACAGTTAAGATGCTATATACACAGTAAAAGGGGGTCCATCCCCCGAAGGAATAGGAAAAGGGAAAAAGGGGATGAAAGGGAACAAAAGGGACACCGAACAGGTATACTAGATCAAACTCAAGAACTATACTAATAACTAACAAAACAGTTCTCACCATGTCCCTTAAAACAGCAGGATCGGCAGTCACGGCCAGCACTCTCCAAACCTCCACGTGGCAGGACGGTGGACTCTGCAGGCCTCAGCCTTAGATAAGCGAGACCAACGCAGGGACTCACTGTTCCCAAACCTCGCCGGAAGAGAAGAGAGTGAAGTCTCTAATTTCCGACTTATTTATACTCTGGTTTACATAAAAATTGTATGGAATACTAGGTACTTGGCTACTTCCTTGGTTACAAACTGGTCACCAGGAAGGCCTAGACTAAAACCATCACAGTTACATTCACCCATTTGACATGAATTATAACCTGTATTTATTACAATTCCTCCTCTTCTTTTACAAAATTATTAATTCTTGTCTTTTGCTCTAATCTCAACAAGACTAATTTGACACTTTCTTCATCTTGGGAAATTGAAGTTCTGGTGACTAATAATGTTTTGGCACTCTGAGAGGCTTTTGGATTTATTGGCATGGTTGACACTTGCATTCCTTGTACAACAGAAACTATTAGCCTTATGAAACAAGGGATTAAACATGGTAAAAATACAATACTAGCTAAAGCACATAATCAGAAAAATCCCACCTTCTTACACCAAGCTGTTCCCACCAACTACTATCTAATATAGAATTCCATTTTTGTACCGGTACATGAGTCAATTTTCTAATGTCTTTTGCAATATCCATAACTACTTCTCTGTTATCATCAATTTGTAAACAGCAATTTGAGGTGTTGAACTTTACACATACTCCACCTTCTTCGACTAACAGATAGTCTAAAGCAAGCTTACTGTGATACACTGCAGTTCGAGTGTTTGATTGCTGGCTTGTAATTAAGTCTAACATTTGGACTGTCTTATTAGCTACTATTTCCATAACTGCCTGAAGGCGTATAATCCTATTTAGCATGTATATGGGAGTTTGATAACCCCAACTTCCATCTTGGGCCCAAGTGGCTGGTCCGTATGTTGCAATGATACATTCAGGAGGCCACTCATCATGGTACCATTTTTGTGTTCCTCCAATGTGGGGTGCTTGGCTACAACAGGCACTATGAACAAACCATACTAATAGGCCTTAGCCTGCCTTAGCAAGAGGCCTACTTGCAGGTTGCGGGAAAAGTACTGGCATTGATATCAGGCTGCAAGAATGGAAACTATTGAGATAATAAGAAGGAGTTCTCAGAGAAAGACAATGATTTCATGCGCACAGACAGTGCATGGACAGCGCATACAAACCAATCATATAGCAACATGTACTAAGTAGCAAGAAGTGTGTTTAACTATTGCAAACTAATTATGTAGCGACGTGTACTTATAGTTAATCAATACTGTAGTGACATGTATGTGTGTGAGAGTATAAAACAAACGCTGTAACACATAATAAACAAGATCTGCCTATCGATCATATTGGTCTGTGTGCAGTTACTCCGTGCCCTCTTGGCCACATCCAATCTCACTTCTCTTATTTCGGTGTACTGCCCTGTAATCATCATATAGGGGTACGTCTAGATTTGTTCCTTTTTCGGGAGGTAGTAAGAAGAACCCAGGTTGGATGATTCCTAAGGTACAAACTCCTCTCCAGTCTTTTGGGAGTTGTGTATATGCTCTCTTTCCACATATCCAGAACAGCCCTTCGGGTGCTACCCAACTTAAATTAGTGCTATTTGCTTTGTCCCAATATATTTTAAACTCCTCTATGCCTTCAAAGGGATTCTTAGGATTTGTTCTGTTACACCACCAGCTATGGGTATTATTGTGCCACGTACAACCTGCAGCTGCATTGTTAGTCCAATATCCAGATGGCTCTTGAGGCCACCAAAATTCTCCTGTGGTGTTTATGACTGTTACTGAAAGGCATGGGGATTCTCCTACTTTAGTCATATTTCTCTCTACCTCTCCTTTCAATGCATTCTCACCCGACTACTTCAGAAGTTAATATCCAGCCTTGAGGCTGAGATTCTGATGCTTCCCAGGAGTGATTCCACTTTAAAATCTCCCAGGGCGTGAGGCCTTTTCCTTTTCAAGGCCACTCCTCTGTCATTAGGCGCCCACTACAAATCCAGCAATTAGATAAGTTCAGTGTTTGGATGATATGTTCCATTAGATCTATGTACAGGTTGGTCCCATAACCTGGGAGTTGCCAATCTTCTCCTAGTTTTTCTTTTAACTTTTGATATAAATCTCCTGTACTGGAAGGTTTTCTTTGCACAGTTCCTTTTAATATAGTTTGTACTTTTTGTTGTACTATTTCTCCCTTTTTTAGATCTTGTAATTCACCCCCATCGGAAATGTCCCAATGGCCTTTTGAGTAAAGCAAATCCATTTTTCTCCATGAGGACAACTAAGTCCCAATTTGGTCCCACCTTTTCCTAAATTTTGGGTTACCCAGAGTTGCTGAGATCTGGTTTTGCAAGTTTTCAATTCCTTAGGATTGTAACACACTTTGTTCACATGCGAGTGGTAACTTAGGCTTTGAATCATTCAACCTTAATACCGTACAGTTTGGTAACATTTTGCACAATCATCTGAAAGTGCCTGAGCCCACAGATAGCAGAATACCCAGAAGGGTACTTACTGTTACTATATGAAGGCATATTGGAAAGCATGTAAGACAATGAGACCAGCCAGGGCTCATTGCCAAGGGGCCACACGGCCAGGGCAGGGAAACAATCTGATAGGTCGGGTAAGACAACCAATGGACTGGCAAAGGAAGGTGTGAGCCAGCCCTGAGACACCCAATCCAATTCAAGAAGAAGGCTATATCACCTTTTAAGCAAGAAAAGGACCAGGGTTAGCCATGGGAGGAGCAGTTATGTAAATCAAGAAACCTTAAAAGAACTTGTCCCTCCCATTCCTGGTGTGTTCTCGGACTCTGGCATGATGCCGACCACACTCAGCGTGCTGAAAATAAAGTTCTTTGTTTCACTTTATTTGACTGTCTTCAAAAGTTTAATTAGAGATATTTCTAACACTTATTTCTGCTTTCTGAGTGGAGAAGGCCTGTGATTCAATTACCTTCTTGGCGGTGATCACTGCACACCCTGTCCTTCGTTTTCCCTCCCGAGCAAAGTTGCTTCCATCAGTATACAATTCCCAGTCAGGGTTTTCGGCCGGAGTAGGCTTCGGCTCTTTGACGATCCCCTAAAAATTGTGCAAGCACTCCCAGAGCAACATTCTGCCTTTCATAGGTAAACAGTTCAAATGTTTTTGAGAAATTTGGTAGACCCAGAGCCAGGGCTCTCATCAGGGAATGCTTTAGCCACTTAAAGGCTGCTCTTGCATCATCTGTCCAAGTGAGGAAATTCTTATAGGCTGTTTTTTAAAAGTTCACATAATGGTCTTACCAAAAGTCCATAGTTAGCAATACAGAGTTGACACCATAATTCCCAGGAAGGTATGCAGTTCATGAACTGTTTGTGGCTCAGGGAGGAGACAGGTGGGTTTTTTTCTTCTTTCCTGGTTTCTGGATTTTCCCATTCAAAAGCAAAGATTTCTTGGTTTTCCTTGCTCAAGGGGATGCAGAAAAAGTCATCTTGTAAATCTAATACAGTAAACTATTCTAGTTTATTATTTAAGGTGGTTCTCTCAGGTCCTGCACTAATCGATAATCTTTCCCATTTTCTTTCTTTATGGGTACTTGGATTCACATTCCACAAGCTTAGCATGCTTAGCAAATTTGTCTATTATTGGAACCAATCCAATAATAATTTCTAATTTAAAAGGATACTATTTTACCTTACTGGTATAGCTCCTGGATTAAGGGTAATTCTTACAGGTTCTGCCCTTTTTGATTTTCCTGGAATTCCACTGTCCCACACGATAGGAACAACTGCATCTTCAACTTCACTTGGGATGTTGCTGCTAACTGGAGTTATTTCCGGTACAAGAAGAGCTGCTGCTTCAACATATTTAGTTTCAGGAATTACAATTTCAATATCCCCAAATTTAAATTTACTTTCTGCCTCAAGTTTTTCAATAAATCTCCTACTAGCAAAGGTTTAGGGGAGTTTGGCAAATATAGAAACTAATAAATTACCCGTTGTTTCCCCAATTTAACCCCTGTCCCACCAATAACCTTCACAGTGTCATTCCTTAATTCTCCTTCTATTATATTAAGAACTAAGTTGCACCTGTGTTTGACTAATACATGGGCAAACCAGACAATGGGGATTCGAACCCGCACCTTTTAACCAGATGGTTCTTACAGTTGTATTTAATAGAAAATCGTCAATTATACCATCACTAGTGATTTCTTAATCCAAATATCACACTCCTTCTTACAGTTATATCACTTTTATAACTCAATTATATTATATTATAGAGTTCCATTTCTATGATAGTTAGGTAAACTTTTTATACTCTCAGGAACGCCTTAATAAAATTCCAGAGCTCTTGCTTTGAACTCACCAGATCCAGGGACTGAGAGGATCTGCCAAAATAATACTTTTGGTGTGCACTGGAGTCCTCAGGGTCCCAGAACCCATGGAGCATCAACAACATTATCCCTCCAGGGGGTCCTCAATTTGTTTCCAATGTTTCAAGATACAATCCAAAGGTGATTTCTTAAAGATTACTTCTTTGGAACCTGAAGTACCCATAATAAAAAATAAACCAAATGCCAGTTTCCAAAACCAAATAAACCTTTAAGTCCAGACTCCCAAATTCATATCCAAAATACCAAATACCAAATAACCCACCCAATGTGTAGGGGTAGGAAATCAGAAGAATGTCTTATTTATAAAATACAGCAGGATCTTACCTGTGTCCCAGACTGGTCTGGGGAGCTGTCCTTCCTGAGAAAATCTTGGTGCCAGTGTGAAGATCCAGAGATCACTCAGAGTAGGCAGAATGTCCCATCTGGGGTGCCAATTCTGTTGCCTAAAATCAGCTCTTAAAAGAAACCTCTAAGACTCAATTTGTGAGTTTTAGATGCCAGGCATTCTTTTCTTATGACACCCTGCGTGATTGTGATGGTTGGGACCTGTCCTCTTTCCAAATGCCCGAACCCACAGCAGCAGTTCCCTTCCCCCAATCCTTCTTGCCTTAGGGCAAAGGAAAAAAAAAGATAAAAAAATTGAAGAACCTGAAATCAAACTAGTTATATAAAAATATATATTTTATGTATATTACAGTTATATACAGTTAAGATGCTATGTACACAGCAAAAGGGAATCCAAAAACCCCCCGAAGGAATAGGGAAAGGGGAAAAAAGGGACAAAAGGGACAAAAAGGGATACTGAACAGATATACACAATCAAACTCAAGAACTATGCTAATAACTAACAAAACAGATCTCACCACATCCCTTAGAAAAGCAGGATTGGCAGACACGGCCAGCACTCTCCAAGCCTCCACGTGGCAGGTCAGTGGACACTGCAGGCCTCAGCCTTAGATAAGCGAGACCAATGCAAGGACCCACTGTTCCCGAACCTCGCCGGAAGAGCAGAGAGCGAAGGCCTCTCCTTCCTTCTTATTTATACCCCGATTTACGTAAAAATCGTATGGAATACTGGGACACTGCCCCTTCCTTGGTTACAAAGTGGTCACCAAGGAAGGCTCGGATTAAAACTACTACAATGATCACAGCACGCCAGGTGCCCTAAGAATCAATTTGCCAAAGTGCACACGGAGGTATCTTCACTACAGCTTATACATTTGCATTACATGATTATTCATTTTTTGTTCCCTGCATTCCTGTTACATATTCATGACATTTCCTTATAAGGGGTTTTATCAGGGGTCTCTGGTGGTCATCTATGTCTGGAGCCCCCAAAGTTCTAAGTGACTGCCTTATGAACTTCTTTAAGACAATACACCTGGTTATAGAGTAACTTGGTGTTGCTTGGCTGGCTGCCTCAGTTCCCTTCTTCACTGTTTCTGTACTTTGCTTGGTTAGTCCCTTTAAATCACTTGGCTTGGCTATATGTAGTTTCTATGGTACATGCTACTGCAAAAACTATTAGTTCTTGTTACATCTCAGAACTCAGATATCAACCAACAAGACTTTTACTTCTATTGTAAATTTAAGTTTGAATGTACCATTCTGTATATATCTGACATTTTGGTCAAAGATATAACAATGTGTTCAGGCTTTATTGGAGCAGAGCAGCATGTGACAGAAAACCAAATATATATGAGTTAACCCTGTACACACTTGTTGGGGGCTTTTATTGTTTGTATTTTCCTCCTAGACCATCAGGAGAGAGATGATGTTGGAGATGAAGTAGGGGGATTTCATGATTCTGAAATCACAAGCTATATAGTTATATAAAGTAAACACTTAAAAGCATTTTAATTAGTAGTTTTGAGTTTGTTTTCAAGATAGTGCAAACAAATTAGTGTCATAAAGCAATAAAGCACAGTGGAGTGCTTGTAACTAAAGTGGTGGGAATAAGGCTGTTGGTGTAGGACTCGGGAGGAAGTTGGTGTAGGACTGCTAGCCTTTATAGGGTTACCAGGAGCCACAAGGAGTTGGGTTATGAGGGAAATGGAGATGTTGGGGAGGATATCCTGCTCTGGAAAGAGAAAAATAAAGGTGACTGGGAAAATTCCACTGTGTATTGGTGATGCAAAATTGTAAAGTAGCATTCATGTGGATAAAAGGGAACCAGTTGGGCTGAAATTGCTTTGGGAAGAACTGATAAGAGAATTTTGCTGTGATTGCGCAAGAGAACTACCACATGTAGTCAAGGATTTAAATGTGGGTAGAAATGTCATATTATGCTTAGAGGAAAGTATTTCTGGGTATTCTCACTGTCGGAGACTAACATACCACACCAGAGAAGGAATGCTGTTGGTAATGGCTGGGTACAGAGAGCTATGTTATCTGGCAGTTTCATCATCAAATAGCAACTGAAGCCATAAGATCAATAGAGTTAACTGTAGATGTGGCTCTAAGAAGCACAGAAGTTGCTTCAGGGAAGTTGGACATAGAAATGAACTTGTTTTCTATGATCACAACTTTATCTGTTTAACTTAATGTAATTTAACATGTAGATGTATTGGGTTTTTGTGGCCAGGTTTTGGTAGAGGGAGGACCTACAGGGGTGGTGTAGCAGGGAGATTGCTGAAACTGAAACCAGTACACCGTTGAAAGCTCAACGAAACAATATTTGTTACAAAGAAGTAGACAACAAAACAAGAAGCCGAGAGGCAGGAAAGAGAAGGGAAACAAGCCCCCAAGACAACCCCTCACTCACTTAAGTGTTACTTATGAGGTTGTCTTACTGACCCCAGAATGCTTAGAATTCCCCATAGCAGAAGCTGCATCCCTGGAGTGTCAGCAGGCTCACAAGATGGCGGGCGTCCCTGCAGAGGTAATGTTGTCCTCCATGTGAAACTTGAATAGCAAGAGCTATCTGCTTTTTCTACTATTAACCTATGATGTCTACCTGGGCAGGTGTGGCCAGCACCGCCCAGCCAGAGACCTCAGGTCCCTCCCCCTATTATGTAAGTGGTGCCCCTTCAGCACACACATGTGTGCATTGGAATTTCCCTGCGCCTGCGTGATACACCTCAGGGACTCTTTTCTAAATGCCTCTGGAGGCTTACTTCATCACCCTCCTCTTCACTTTCTCCTTCAAATGTCCTTGGCGGGCCATCGGCCAACAGCCAGTCACCAATAATTTCAGTTTATACAAGATGCTTCCTTCAAGGATGAAGTTCTCATTTGTCAGTGCTTGTTTTTTCATAACTTGGCAGGAAAAGAACAGACTTGCAGGTGGCTGGGCCAAACACAGACCAAAAGTAACAGCACCTAATTAAGCACAAATAGAGGTGGTTTCTGTGAGAAGTTGCCAGAAGCTTCCCCCATGTTCAGTAGAGCCAATGCCAACTGGCTCCAGGATGGACACACCGCTGGCCGAGGCCAAGCCAATCAGGAATGATAGTAATGCCTCTGTGATAACATATTTAAGAAGGAAAAAGAAAGTTATTGGGCAGATGAAAATTGCAGCCAGAGAAGAGCAGAGTGAGAACATGTGAACAACTCTGCAGACACCAAGGTCAGTGGAGAAGGAGGGGGAGGAGGTGTTCCAGGTGCCGGAGCTGAGGTTCCCCTGCAGCCCATGGTGAAGACCATGGTGAAACAGGCTGTGCCCCTGCAGTCCATGGAGGACCATGTGGGTGCAGAGATTCACCTGCAGCCTGTGGAGGAGACCCACGCTGAGCAGGCAGATGCCTGAAGGAGGCTGTGACCCTGTGGGAGGCCCATGCTGGAGCAGGCTCCCAGCAGGGACCTGCTGACCTATGGAGAGGGAAGCCCACTGGAGCAGGTTTTTCTGTGAGGACTTGTGGCCCTGTGGGGTACCCACACTGGAACAGCCTGTGCCCATGGAAAAATGACCCATGTTGCAGCAGTTTATGATGAACTGTTGCCCATGGGATGGAGTGACTCTGGATAAGTTTGTGAAGGACTGTCTCCTGGGGGAGGGACCCCACGGGGAATAGGGAAAGGACTCCTCTCTCCGAGCAGTGGCAGAAACAACACCTGACCGTAACCTACACTCCTTGTGTCCCTGAGCCGCTGGGGGGAAGAGGTAAAACTTGGAAGGAGGGAGGGGTGGGGGAAAGGTGTTTTTAAGATTTGTTTTACTTCTCATTTTCCTGATTTGGTTCTGTTAGTAATAAATTTAATTAATATCCCCACTTTGAGTCTGTTTTGCCCATGATAGTGATTGGTAAGTGATCTCTCCCAGTCCTTATCTCAACTCATGAACCCTTTGTTATATTTCCTCTCCTCTGCCCAGTTGCAGAGGGGAGTGAGAGAGTGGCTTTAGTGGGTACCTGGCATCCAGCAACTCTCAAGCCTCTATAGAAACTGAAGAAGCTTTTGGGTGAAGTGAGGAGCTTGGATATGGAGGAAGGCATGAAATTCAGTGAAACTACAGGGGTAAGTATTAGCATCTCATATAACAAGAAAAACCTCCACTTGGGAAATTACCCCAGAGCTGGTGATTCATTTGATCATTGTGTCAGGATATGGTGAGCAAACAGAACCTCTGAGAAGTATGGACAAAAAGAAATCATTTTGTAAAGGAAGGTGCAGCTTGAGGATCAGGAAGTTGATACCTTGGAGTTTTGATTTTTTTTTTTTTAATTTTGTAGATTTTAGAAGTAGTTATGTAGTAAATGTAGATTTTAAAATAGCAGCATATTATCCTTTTACCCTTTAACACACCATAGTAAATCCTGTTACCCATTCCCATATCAATTCCCCTAAATTCCATTAATTTATTTAGTCTCTTTTTCAAGGTAGAATTGTAGAGAACACCCTAACCCTATGCAAGAAGATATAACTATAGACTCAACCTTCAGGCCTAGAGCTCTGGAAGGCCTCCAAGAACATTACGTGCTCTGAGGAAGATGAAGATGAAGAAGAAGGGGTCTCAAAACACCCCCAGACTCAATTCCCAAGAGGCGTGTCAGGGGCCAGTGTCGGAGGGGGTGGCCGGACGCAATTGGGTGAAAATCATTATAAAAATTTGAGACACAGGTATTTGGGGTTTGCAGTGGTGATTGTTCCTGGAAGCCTGGGGGCTCATTAAAGCCTTTTGCATCCTTATCTTATCTCCTACCTAATTTTGACTCGGAGTCTTTTTCCTCCACAGCCTTTTAGGCAACAAAGTCTAAAGCAGGGGCTAGCAACTCAGTAGACAAGGTGACATCTTGCAAAGGGTACTAAAACATATAACAGAAGGTGCTTTGGTCATATGAAAAGAAGCAGTGAATTTCAAAAAGGAAGGAATCGAACCACTGTGCATAGGGATGGGGAGTTGAGTAGAGATGATTTGGGTATGATCCCTGAACTGTAGGAATTGTTTCTTA